TAAGAGACTTCTGCTGCTTCATTCCAATCCTTTTTGTCTATAAAAATGCCAAAAATGTATTGGCACTTCGTAATATGATTTTGGTCTTTTCTGCCAGATGGATGTTTATGTATTATGTTACAGGTTTTAAGTTCTCTGACCTGTTTCTATGGGAGAGACGACCTGTGTATGCTCGTGAAATGTTGCTTCCTCATTTCCACCAAATCAATCACTTCAAAATATGATTTAATCTTCTCAGAAGGCCATCTTAAACTTAGCTTAGTACAGCAGCTTAGTATACCAAGCAAGTATTTCCATGCACTACCCTGAAACACTGGCTATTATAAATAAAGTACTGTGATCTTAATTAAGAGTGAGATACCTGTGTTTCCTGTATTAGATATTACTACAGAGAAAGATACAGATGTATCGGACAGTAAAAATCTCACCATAGCTGTTGAAATGGGATCTGATATGAAACAAATAGTTCACTAAGTCTGGATTCATTTCTAGTGCCAAGTTGCCTTTTTTGTGGCTACCTTCTTCTACAGTGCAAAAACATGAGGCATGAATTGGAAAAGAAATGTCTCCCGAACGCAACACTAGACTGAAGACATTACAACTACAGTATGTGGGAGTCAGCCATTCATCTGGACAGCAAAGGATACTGGTAGAACGAGCAGGGGTAACTGGGAAACCCGGCTTGAACTCTTCAGAACATCTGACTTATTGCAATCCACCCATTATGAATGAATATGTGATCTTTCAGGTGGGTCTTCATTTTGTCTCTTCACAGTGTGACAGTGGTGAGAAGAGCCTTTCAGCTGGGAGGGCAGTGTATGTTTTTTACTGTAGATTTCAGCACTGGTATTTCTGCCATCAGTTACAGCTTTTTGAATGCAAATAACCAACCTCGTCTTCCATCAAATAGCTACTTTGTGAGAAGCAGGATTACTCTAATTAATCCCAATATAGGTCAGGATCATTTCCAAGAGCACCAAGTCCAGATATTTGCTGCTGCTGCTTACACCAGCAGCCTCTAAATCAGCACTCACAAAGCTACAGGCTGCAATTGCAACCCAAATGTGATGCAACCAGTTTAAAACTGCAAAATGTTTCCTAACTTCTCAAGTAGCCTGGGATGGTATCGACATGGGCTCACATCTTCATGAATCAAACTGTGATTGCAAGGAGCTACAAAGAGAAGCCTTCACTGCAGTGCAGTTGCCCTGTATGCACTAAGGATGATTGGCCATGGGCAACAAGATCAGATGGCTCTGAATAGGAAGCTATGTCAAGTCCTAAACACTGGAAGCAAGAGATCTGACTGAGATACACCGGCGAGATACGAAAGGCAAGCGGACTTGCAGTGCTTCTGCTTCGATCAGATCATTTTGGTGATAGCCACTGGTATACACAAGGATCCAAAAAGCTTTTTGTTTAACTCTGGTGCAAGGAATTGTAAGCAGCAATACGAGATAAATATTTAAAAATAAACACAAGGTCTTCTTCCCAGCCTGCACAGGGTTATGGTCTAAGATTTTGCAGGAACATATGACTGTGCAGTGCCCAACATAACAGCATGATTTGACTGGAGCTGTAGCAAGCCAGCATTCTCATGGAGCTCCACCAGTTATACATACTAACCTTCTCCTCCTCTTATCATCACCCACTTTCCATGGACGTGCCACTGATGTAACTCAAGACTTTCCTGAGAGTCATGAAAACAACAAGCAAAGACTGCCTTACTTGGAAATAAAATTCATCCTCGAATAGCTGCAGTGGAGACTGGAAAGTTTACAGGCTCCCTGGGGTATCTCAGAAGGTAAAGGGGAGGATAAGGAAATTTTTTCAGAGCTTTCTGTCAGCATCCAGCACCTTGGCAAAACATACTTACTAAGGACTCCAAAAAACTAAAAATGGCTAGGAAGGGGAGCCCAAAGACTATACACCAGCTTTACTATGAATTCAACTACCCAAAGAAACTCTCAGCTCACTATGTAACAACTTAAAGTCATTAAAGTTTGTGAAGACAGACTCTTCTGAACAAGGACTACTGAAATTGGCACTGTGGGCTTCTGTGTGGTGTATATCACTGGCTCCAGATCCAACTTGTTCAATCTACAATGAATGATACTTGCTTTCTAATTCCCAGCTTTGTGGTTGAAGCTGGAGGGTTTTCCAGTTTATGTATTATCTTGATTTTTATTTTTAATGTAAAGGCTCTTCAGAACCTATTAGAACCTTAATTATACAAGTTATTCTTCAGTAAGATAGACATTAATACCAGATTAGATGGTAGTAAACAGTTCTCTAAATCCTGCTTCAAAGAAACAGAATCCAGTTTCTTTAAAGCTGTGCTGATTTTATAAGGCTTAATGGCAGCACACAAAGTGATAAAGCTTACTTGTCACTAAACTGATTTGGCTCTGAATACACACAAGGAATAGATCAGCTAAGGTATCACTCCTGTAGGCATTTAGGTTACAGCTGCATTTTTTATGTAAAGATTTTAATTTGTAGAAGGTAAATTTAATCTTACAAATGAACTTCATGGATAAGAGTTTAGTCTTTCTGACAATAGCAATGCCCGTTCCCCTGCTAAGATGGGTGGAAACATAAAATATTCCACCCCAATGTGCATTTCAACTTTATTATGAGCCAAGTTATTTCTTCTATTGTGAAATAGAAGAAATGTTGGCAGCAGTTTTCTAGTTTGCACAGGTAGGGTCGGTACAGCAACTGTTACATCATTTGGATATTGGCAGCTCCTGTGACGCACCTTGGCTGTTCAAACATTAACTTGTTTTTCAATGCCAATGGCTGTATGCAAATCACTTCTCAGATTGATGATCACTGCTAGCAGAAGATGAGATAACATTTAAAGGACTAGACAAATTTGTCTTGCTGTTAATTATAACATTCAGTGGTTTATAGTGGGTGAAAAGATATTCCTCATTCCCACCAGAGCTTTCACATAGCTGAGCATCTGATTGGCTCTTCCTGCTCCAGTGTTAACTCTTTTTGCTAAAATGACATTCTGTGCTCACGCTCAGAATACAGAACAACGTGGAGGTCAAAACCCCCACAGAATATAGTTTTATAGTTCTTCATGCACTATTTGCTATTACTGGATGAACATTGTGTCAACTTCAAGGGGGGTTTTTGATCCTCAGAATCAGTTGTCTCAGAGGACAACTTGCCAAAAATAGGCTGCTTGCATCACTCCCTTTCACTCCCCTGTCTAAATCATGAGTTCCTGCACACGGAACAGCTCTTCACTCATACGAGAGGGTGGAGTTCAGCATGGTGCAGTCACCACTGCTTATGCTGTTTGTGACTACACCAAGAGGAGTGTGATTTAAAGGAAGCAGCTCCATGAAACCCCTATAAGCCATTCTTTCTCTTCTCTCCCTTTCTCTCTCTCTGTGTTGTCTGTGCTGTAGCTGCCACAAAACAGTCTCCCTGATGGCCTTCACCTTGTCCTCTTTGTCCCTTGTTGGATTGCTGCTGACATTATGACAGCTGGAGGGCCTGCATGAACTGTGAGTGAGCAGTGATGCTCTCTGCCTAAAGGATGCAGAGTACTGGCTGGTTATCTCTGTAGCTCAATTAACTTGCAAGCAATCAGCAGAACTGGAATTCTTGTATTTTTGTATGATGTGAATGCCAGATCCAGGCAAGAAATAAAGCATTGAGGAAGAAGCAGGATTTGCTGTCTGATGCCTTCAAGAAGCTGAAGGTTTGCCTGCAACTGAAATGAGTCACAAAGAGATCAGAAAAGTCAAATAAGAAATCAAACAAGCTCCTTTCAGAGCAAAGGAAAAACTCCCACCAGCAAAGCTGCAACTTAAGGGAAAGAGACCATCTGAAATACAGGAAACAGGTCAAATTCTGCCTCAATTACACATGCATAAACCTAATACTATCTCTACCATGACAACTTCCCTTCATGGTTACAGACTCCACAACAACTCCAGAACAACTTTCTTCCGTTTACGAAGGGGTGGTGTGGCAGTTGCAGGTGGAGAGCAGTAGTAGCTGATCACTTCCTCATCATTTTGTCTTCCCTTTCACAGAGATATCTGAATTCAACCTTGGTACCAGAATGGAAATCTAAAGAGAACAGAGTTCTCTCATACAGAATCTACACAAGATATAAGACAAAAACCTCTCTCATAGCATGTGGGTATTTCCATTACTGTATTTGGAGGAGTGAGTAGGGGCACAGGTAATGAAAGAAAGAACCCAGTACATGTGTGTTCACAGGAAAAGGAAGCCTAGGGGCAAGTTAACCAAAATTCACATAACCCCAAGCAAGTTGAGCTGCAAGTTTTGCAGGAAACTTTTTTCTTAAACCTAGCAAAATTCCAAATCTTCAGTAGGTTCACTAGTCTTCCAGTGAGAGACATAACATTCTTCCCCGAGATCAGAGTGGAATTATGACAATTTACACTAGCTAAGTGTCTGTCAGATAATATGCAGTGTGTCTTGTGGAGGATTTAAAAGGGTCATACCCCAAGGATATCTGGGGAAGAAGGGGGTGGATGCAAAATAGAATTAAATAATGTCGCATTCCTGTCTCAATAAATAGCAGGAAACCAAGGGAGACAGCAGCTAGCAGGGCAGCATTCAGCTTCACAGCAGAAAAGGGACTCAAGAATCATGAATCAACGGCAGCAAGTAAAGAAAAGAGTAAAAAAAATCAGGAAAGAAAAGAAAATCACTGGCCTGGGTTACAGTGAGGGAGGGAATCTCATGTTTGTGCTATGAAGGGGAAAGCTGTGGTGGAGCCTGTGCATCTGTGCATGGATGGGGAGGAACAGAAAAGGGGTATATGCTTGAGTCCTCCAGGTGAGTGAAAGACATAGTGGGCTGTTACAGTGTGGGTAGTCTTGAAAAGAGCGAGGGAGAGCAGGGATAGGGAAGGGGAAGAGGTGGAAGGGACAGGACGGCGCATTATTATGTTGCTCAGCAGGGGCTGGGGAAGGTGAAAAGGCAGAAGGGAAGGAAGTTCTTACCACATTTGGAAAGTCTGCCAGTCATCAACTCCATACAGTTAGTGGTGTCTGGATCATAGAACGGAAAGAGGAGGGGGGGAGGAAAAACATAAAAAAAGGTTTCCACACCTCTGTGCATAAAGTAGTAACTTAGCACATTATTATCTGAAGCAGGAAACATATACACATCTTGGTCTTTACACAACCCAGGCCAAATTCTGCCACCCACTATATGCCAGTGTAAATCTGGCCCTGTGACTGAGAGTGGATGCTGCTTCAATCCCGCTGCCTCCACTCACCCCTTTATCACAGCTACAGGTATCTATGACACGTGGGAAATATTCTGCCACCATATCAGCAAACTAAAAGCCTTGAATACAGTGTTTCACCTGGCTAGCTTTGAAAGTTAGCCTGCAACAGCCATGAAATGTTCAATCAGCTGATATATCTACATAAAAAACCTGGAGAGAGGGAAGAAATACAGCACTGTGCTATTGCACATGGAATGAGGTTACTTGTACAGTTCAAAAACATCTTTTAGACCCCAAAGGATAATGTCAAAGTTTCAACCTAACTCTGTCTCTTTTATTCAAGTGTAGTCTCTTACTCCTCTTGCTTTCTAGGTCACTATTCAAAGGCAGTAGAAGCACTTCTGGAAAGGGTGGCAGAATCTGGTCCGAAGACACTACTGTCCACTTTGCATATAGCTCCCATTACCACAGCCTCTGGGTGCTTCCTACTGGGGTGTGATAAGCAAAAGGAGCTCTACATGTCAGCTTTAAAACAGAAAGGACCAGCCCAGCTGGACACTTCCATGTGGAAGCTGTTGGCAAGCCAGATCTGCTGCTGTCAGCCAGGATTCCCTTGCACTTGGGATCTAAATCATTGAGTTCATGGGCAATTCACTGCTGAGCAAGAGGCTACCAGTTAAAGCACTAAGCTCAGTCTCAGATCTCCTCTTGCCTGGGCTCCTGAAGAACACTTGGGTATTTAAGAAATACCCTACTCAGAAACATGCACACATATGCTGAAAATCCATAACTGCCAGGAGGCTCTAACTACCCCCTGTTTGCTATAAAGTCTGCAGGACAGAGGGAAAGATAATTTCTCAGCATTCCTCCCCTTAAATATTGAGAAAAGTAATTTCATAAGAGCGGGAAGGGGTGCTGGATATGCTTGGGTAAGCTGGACCCATGCTAGAAGAGCATCTTTTCTGATGCAGCCAGGCCTGTGCTGTGTGGATCATTTAGAAAATCATGGAGCAAAGAGGGCAAGTGCTTGTTCCAGTCACACTGGTCAAAGCATCTAAGCAGCAGTTATATGTTCTCCATCCCCAAGGCTAAAGGTGGGCTGGCAGAGGTCAGTGGGAGATGATACCCATGGAAGTTCTCTCAGAAAGGCACAAGATTGAGAGAAAGGGGGAAGAGGGTGGAGGTGAAGGAGAAGAGAGCATTCAAGAACTGGAACAATATATCAGAGGTGTCAGAGAGGCCAGGAGTTTACCTGCCTTTGAAATTCTTTGGCTAGTCTGGCGGAGTGAAGACAGACTAATCTCCCAAAATACATTTCTCCCTGAAGATGCCTAGCAGATTTGAGAAGTGCCTATAGTGGCTGATTGGGTCAGTGACCAGAAGTCACACTCACAGGTTTGGATCATTTTTTTTCTTTAATAACTTGGAGAAGTTTGTTGTCTCATGCCTTTCAGTGGTTCCTGTCCAGTCCCCTCATAGTCAACTACACTTTGCTGTAATGCAGTGTGATGCAGATCTATAGTGGTAGAGCTCAGAGCATTCACCCAATCATTAGCAGAACTTAGCTTTGAAAGAACACATAAGAGCAAAGAAAGTCTCAAATATGGCCAAAAGACTGTTTCTGACTCCACCCTCCAACACCTGGAATTTTCCCCTCAAGTGTATCCACACTAACTGGCCACTCAGTAACTTGCAGTCTGGAAACAAAAAAGGTCACATTCGGATAATATCAGAGCAGGTAAACATTGCAGCTAGTTACTAAGAGTCTCCTGAAACTGGTATTTCTGTTTCATTCATAATTTTAACAAATTAAAAAATAATCATGCCTCCTTAAGTTAATACTGTCTTTTTTTCTAAGTCATTTGCAGTCAGCATAGGTCTCTTTAGTATTTAAAGCTAATTGTGTAACAGGTCTACATACATTCATTGTGTGATCAGAATACAAACTGACAGATCTACACAGGAGAAAAGGATTGTAACAGAGGCTTTTTGGCAGCATAACATCTCGGGCTCTGTACTCCATTTTATTCCTAAAAACGTAAATTTGCATGGTATGGTATTACTTTTGATGGATAGGGAATTTTTTTTTAAATATGAGATCATGGAAAAATCAAAGGAACACTAATGAAACCCCCAACTTGTCTTTCTTAAAACTTTAATGCACAACTATAATTTGCATGTTCTGTATTGCCATGGCTAGTCCCAGGAACTCCATAGGAATTAATTTTTATTTGTAATGTCTTTCCAAGACCTGATCAGATTGTTTTTCCCCAATTCCTAAGGCACAGTCAGCATGGGTACACCAGGACCAGTAGCTTATACTGCATTACTTTAAAGACTAACAGTGTTAATATGCCTTCAGCTTCTCTTTTATAATAATTACTTTAATACTTCTTTCATTTCCATCATATTGTAACGTCTGCTTTAGTAAATACTCTACATGACTAAGTATTCCATCATTTTCAAGTAGAAATTTCATTCTAATTAGAAAGTCTTAGATTCTTGGCAGTCAGCTTCTGCTCATAGATACTAATCCACAATCCAGTGACTGTGGGATCCAGGTGTCATGTGAAAAGAATAAAGCCAGGGTCCAAAGGCTTTTAACTGTCTGAGAAATGTTGATGGGTCATGTAACTGCATTTTTCATGTGTCCTCTTTAGTTTTTTAATTAAAGCATAGTAGCAGTGTCAGATCTCAATCCTTCTGATGATAAGGGAATTCCTTATTTCATAGAAATGGCTGGCAGTCCCTCACACTTTGGATTTGACCAAGACTCTTTCATATATGACATCCAGTTCAATTCATTAACAGATGGCAAATATTTTGGTTAAAATAAGGCCTTCCTTCAAAAGGCCAAACAAGTTCTGAATCCAGTAAAAATTGCTAGTGTTCTGTTGAATTTTCTTTCACAATTTTCTTTATTCTTTAATTTCTGCATTTCTATCCTACATTAATTTCACAATGAAGCCATCTAGTTTGTGATGCTTCTAATATCTCTCAGTCTGAGACTTGTCCCAGCCCAGGAAATCTCACCCAAACAGCTGCTCCTCTGAGATCTCCAAATCTAGGGCTAGATCCCAGAAAGCACTGAGCAGCTCCTGCCAGATGCTCATAGTCCCCAATAAACAGGAAGGGAGATGATGTCAAGGGAGCCACCAGCTCCTCTGGTCCAAGGCAGTTATCATTCAGATTGAAATTCCCCAGTGTTAGTGTGCTTATTTGAAATCTCTGCTCTCTTATCAAAACTCTGGAGAGCCTGGACTTTTTTTCTACATGCCTGATTTCAGAACTACCAGTAAGTATTTCAGATAAGTTTAATGAAGGCTGTTCAGTAATAATTCTAAGGCTGTTCAGCAAAAAAACAGGGCTCTGCCAATCGAACCGGACATCAGAGAGCACCTTTTGTAGGTGGGAACCATGATAGCAAGATGAAGTAATTACTCCAGACACTACAAGAGTGGTAAGACATAAAGGGTCACACAAGATTGCAGGAAACAAGAGAAATTTGGGACCTGGATGAACCCCAGAAAAGTTGACTTGTGATCCAGTTTCAAAATGGCACTTGCAGAGTCCTTGTTTTGAGCCTGCAGCTGGAAATTCACCTTGCAAAGCACTTCATTTGCTCCTTATTCCCTTTTAAGTCTTGATGATAAAATCCTTTGCACATTTGGAAACTCAGTTTCCTACTAATTTTTTTGTAGCAATTTAGCCTACAGCTCTTGTGAGCCATAAAACTCCCAGAAATCACAAATCAGTATTCTATCAAGAATTTGCACTGCTCTATTTTGAAGCTAGTTATGGTCTCTAAACACTTGTTTATGCTGATGAAATGCACTTCCAGCAGTAATACTGAGATGCTCTGAGCTTTGAGATGTCAATGGTTAAAATCTGATATGAAGTCAATAAATACAATAAAGAAAGAGAAAACCTTTAAGTTATAAAGGTTATTTCAGCATAGCTGATTGCCCAGAACATGGGAAAATGGGAAAAAATAAGAATATGCAGCACTCCACACTTAAAGCTCAAAGAAACAAGAAAGTATTAGGGAAATAAAAATTGATACACTGTGAATGATCACAGATGGCTTTTGCATGTCCCTATTCACCAGCTGTTACTATTACTCTTTTGTGCAAAGGCATCAGAGAAAAACAGATTATGATTTAGTGGAAAGAGTGTTGGGCTGAAACAAAGGCACAAATCTGAGATACCTTCCTCCATGGAGAGAGATCTTTTTATCCCAGCAAAGGGCAGTTTGCCCAGGGATTACCTAAGTAGAGATTCTGAGTATAAGACTCCTGGATGGAGCTATACATGGATGAGAGATGAGGCTGGCTGGTCTCACACACAGTGAGATTCACTCTTGATGCAAAAGGGACTGTCCTTTCATGGTCTTGCTGGGCTTAGTGGCTTTTGATACCAGTAACAAGTATACAGGGGCAACTGTTCTGGTTTAGACCAAGGGCCAAAACCATCCAATGCTCCGTCTACGTCAGCAGCCACAAAGACACACAGGAGTGTAACAGCAGGCCAAGCAGACACTTCCTAACACTGCCTTGCTCACCACTGTCAGGTCAGAGATTTCCTGAGCCTGTTGCAGTTTTTCTGTTGAGCAATTCCATAAAGATTTTTCTGCCAGGGAGTTGTCTAGCCTCCCTGTGAGTAAGAAGTACTCAGGGGAGGATGAGCATCTGCAAGCTCCTCACATGCAGAACCTGCTTCAGCGAAGAGTTTCACAAGTCTTAGATTATGTGAAGAGATGCTTTCCAATATTTTTTTTGGTACCTGACTTCCACTACTTTCATATGATGGCCTCTAGTTCTTTCATTGGGAAGAGAAAATGAACAAATGATCCCTATTTACTTGTAACTCATGTCATTCATGAGTTGTAGACCTGGTACTGTCTCAGCAATCATAGTACAGAGGTCCTGAAACCTTAGGTTAAAAAGCTGATATGTTGCACTAAATTTGGCCACCTAAGCAGTGGCTTTTAGAAGTACTACATTAACTTTTGGAATGGATTTAATTTATTTACACATTTATTCAGGTAAGGGAGGGAATCTCTTTTCCTGCTTCAGAGTATGCCAGAAGAAATATGCACAGTCAGTCTTAGAAAGGAAAAATGGAAGTGAATGAAGGGATATATGGAGGAAGGGAGATTATCAGGTGCTCAAGTATGACACAGAAACACATCTGCCTAGATCAGGTACATAACAGGCTCACACACACACACAGATGCATGGGCAACATGACATCTACAAACACTGTTGTGAGCTGGAGGAAATGAAAAAGAGGGAAGTGCATTCTGAAACCCAGGCAAGCCGGCTCAGTGGGCTGGCATACTGCATAGCAGATCAAAGAGGGGCAGGAGAGAGAATGACTGTCAGTGCCATATGCTTATTAGGCCTTGCTGTTCTGCTTTATACTGAGTTCATTGAATCTTCCCCTTTTGCAGGTCTCACTTTACATGCATGCACCTTCCACAGTTGGTTTTCATCATCTCACCTGTAATGGCATCTGAACTAAAAGTCAGGAGAAACAACTACACAGAGGAGATGTCTGTGTACAATGAGCTGGGAAAATATCCAGTGCTGGACAGTATTGCTGGTTAGAGACAGCAGACACTCAGAGCCACAGAGGAGGTGAGTCCAAGTGAACTGTGAGCTCATTTTGTTGCAGCGCTGGACTGCCTACAGAGTATCCTCAAACCATGAACCTCAACAGGAGCCCAACCACCACAATTTCTGTGAGCTGTTCAGAGCTGGGCATATGGGAGGGTAAGAGAAACAGAGAAGACTTTGCCTTGTTTCTAGTGAGAAAAGTTGATTAATTCCATGACAATTTCTAGGAAGCTCTTGCACACATCTTTCCAACTACAGACAGCCTGCTAAGCAAGGTGCTGAACACAAACTCTGCTGTCCTTTATCCCTTTTTTCTTCCCCTTACTCTCACTGACTGGGGATGTGAACCACAGGGCCTCTTTACTTTGATGCACGGGTTGTCTCTTTTTGGTAGAAATCCTTTTATTTCCCCTCCCTTCCTTTTCTCTTTTCCTTGTACTCCGCTCCAATCTAAGATTTTCAGGTTGACTTCTCTCATTTTCAAGAGACTTGCATGCTCCTGACCAGGTCAGGTGATGCGGTACAGAACAGTTTGGCACCCTGTCTCGTGAGCTGTCTTGCCTGGTTAACTTCCCATCCAAGGGAATTCTCATTTTTAAATTTCAAGAGACCATTAATTTTGGTTTTGCTCCATGTGGAGTTACCTATTTCACTTTGGCATTAGAGATCAGGCTGGGTTTTCCCTGCTAGAACAACATATTCTCATGTTGTTTTCAGCAGTAGAAATCATATGATTTTTCCATTCCAGAACCAGAGCAAAACTGTAAGTCAGATACATTTCTCACAGCACAGTTTGCCCATAACATCTCCCTGAACTTCAGTCAGTTGAACGGTTCTTATTCCTGCTATAATATGACTTTCTTAGGGAGATATCCTGCCTCACATGCAAGTGTGCAACAGGGTTCAAGTCTTTCTAGAGAGCTGCAGTAGCTAGGACATATTAGGGTGAAGAAGTCAAGAGAGATCCTCAAGTTATTTACTTTTTAAACAATTTTTTCCTCACAGGAAAGTAAGGGTACACTTCCTTCCCTAAGAAATAAGGAATGCTTGAATATTGTTCATACTTACAGGATGCTTTTCTACCTAATTCCCCTCACCCCCACTTAACCCCAGCATTTCCCAAGAGGAAGGGCTGGCAGAAAATTCTGGCTGCTTCCTTGAGTTTGATTTAATTTATAAAGTCCAGACAGCAAAGACCTCAATCAACCATAGTTGTAGTGTCCTCATCTTCCCTGTTTCTGAACAGAATAACCTATGTGCTGGGCACCACTGCAATCCAGCATGCAGAAGGTCAGGCAGTGCTGGAGGCCAAAAGCAAAAAGTGGACACTGAACTGAGCATACTTCTCTGTCAGGTACTAAGCATACACACTTCTAGATGGAGTTATTTTATCTTCAGCCGCCAAAGCCACACTGTTAGACCAGAAGGATGTAACCCATATGTGCAATGAGCCAAGGACATCTGGGATTTAATTGCAGGATGCAATGCCAACCTAACTCCCACACTTTTGTCTTGGCTTGTTCACACAAAGGTCAAGCACAGAATTTGGCTCTAAAGTATAATATTTATTTACTTCCTTTTCATCTCCCACTCCTCCTGACTCTTTCTCTTCTTCCTCCAGCTTCTGCTCTCTACTTTGTTCCTATTTATTCCCTGTATCTGCACATTCTTTCTGCTTCTCCCTATTTTTCCTTCTTTGAAGCATTCCCAATAGCTCATCTGCCTTAAGTTTTAATTTTCACCTTCTCCTTTGTTCTGTCCTTTCAAAGGAGAGAAGAGTTAACACTGATATTTTCTGTGTGTGCAAGCACTAGTGTTCAGAGTGAACACTTGCTACATGATGGTGGGATGAAGCCAGTTTCTGTATTATCAATTCAGGCTGCCTGCAGATTCAGATTGATGTCACTGCATAGGGTAACACACATAAGGATTTCTCTACCACCATGAGGAACTGAAATTTACTTTTCAAATAGGTAAAATATAGCTTTTGCAGAACCTTAGTGTATAATTCGTGCTACCACAGTATTGAGCCAAGAATTTGATCACACTACTGGAAACTATTAACCACCTTCTGACCATCTGTTAATGGCTAAGTTAAAAGTAGCTCTCAACTTGTTCTGAGACCCTCTGAAGTTGGAGGTTTCTAAAGCATGCCTGAAAGGTTTGAAACTCAGGTATCTTCTAGAGCATGTCCCTATTCTGGGATATTTTGGAGCTGGAGAAAATCTGGAAGGTCTACTGATGATGCAGCTTTTGATGGAGAAGTGGGCAAATGGCTCTTTGGGCGGGCGGAGGGCAGAAGCTGTTCAACTGGGGAATGCACTGGGAGCATTGGAGTGGGAATGAGAAAGGGAGGAGTAGGGTGGGTGCAGGGCGTTACTGCTCTGTCCGAATGGAGCTCGTTTATTGCTGTGATCAGAGGGATGGCCTCCCTCAGCCTCCTGGTACCGAGAGGCTTTTCACCTTCCTGTCCCTGCTGAAGCAAGGTGCTCAACAGTAGAAACTACTTACCTGATAACTGCTGCACTGAAGGCTGGTCATGTGTGCTTAACAACTGTGCCTGAATGGTTTCTACTACCCTCTTAAAGCGACGGCTTGGACCTGTGAGGAGAGAAGAGGCACAAATGGCTGTGAGAGGAACGGGAGTCCATATACAACCCAGGCTGGAGGGGAAGCATCACAAGTATCTTCCCTTCAGTCTTGTCCCCAGGAGTGTACTGACAGTGTCTCTGACCTTCAGCCAAAGGGACTGTGGTGTGCTGGACCCAACAGGAGGAAGAAGGGCTTCTGGGCTCCTTTTGTGAAGGCATAAAAGGTGGGGGGGTTTGTTTGTTTTAAACCCTGGGGGGGGGGACATGTGGCCACCCAGAAGAAAAGGGTGAGTGAATGTTTCTGTCAGAAGGAAGAAATTAGTGGCCTCACAATGCCCAGCTGAGACTCTGAGACTTTTGAGTGAAACATGGAGACAGTACCATGAGATATTCCAGATCTGATGCACAGAGCAGCCATTTTAGCACTAATCGTGGAAGTGGTAACTTCAACTCTTTGGGAATCTCTTTCCCTCCCTGCCACTTCCATCGCTACCAACACTATTTTTGTTTCAAATGTCCTCCTTTCCCCTGTCTGAATTTTCCCCCTGAGGCTAAGACAGTTATATTCTTTCCTCTGACAGAGCAATTTGCAGGCCTCTATTATCAGCAAGGACAAAGCCAGCTTGCACCCATTTTAGAGCTTTGCCATGGTTACCTGATAAGAGTGTGAAAGTGACAGAATAGATCCCGTTCTCCTTTTGCGCCTCTCCCCCTTCTGTGTACGTTATGTCCACCTGGAATTTCACTGGCTTCTGGAAGACAGCAGGACCTCCCGTGGACTTATATTCTGCACGGAAACTTGTCTGTGAGATGACACTGTGGCTGAGACTTGGAATCTGAAATAGGTTGGTAGAAGAAGGTAGTAGAACTAGTGCACAAAGTGAAAAAATTGCAAAATTCTATTTATAACAACACACATTTCCAGAGTGGATAACATTTGCTAGATCTGCTTCTGGTCTTGAATTCATAAAATACAGTGTTCTTGTGAAATCAGTAAGACTGTAGATTGCTTGGCACCACAGAAGAATGCACTGCTGCTTACAGGACTGATCCAAACTTATAGGTTGAATATTGGCAGAATACCCATCACGCTTACAAATGTACACATGTTGCTCAACTTCATACACTCAGTCTTCCTTTTCCTACTCATCTACCAGTTTTGGGAAATGCCTTTTTCCTGAGTAAAAACTACTATTAAGAGAGTGGGCAGTAAATCGGTGGGATATAAAAAACACTCAAGTAGCCTGGTCTGATCTCACAGCTGATCCTGTTTTGAGCAGGAGATCTCCTGAAGACCTTTCCAACCTCTAATTGCTTGGTGATTGATGTCAAACAGACATCAGGACACAGAGCAGACACTTAGACAAGCGCCTGAGATATCCACAGGGAAAGCATACCTGCAAATAACTCACCCAAACCATAACTCCTACCAATATGTAAAAGAACTCTGAGAAACTTCATTGTATCATGCAATATCTGTATCTTCAGACTCATGGTGGAATTTCATAACTGCCTAACTTTCAAGCAGTTACCATTCACTCTTTCTGCCAAAATGTAACATACTCGTATTCTATTTACTGCTTCATAAAGGACCAGATTAAAAAAAAATCAAATTTGGAAATCTGGTCTCTAATTTAGAAGGAAAAACAAAGATGAGTTCTTTGAGAAGCTGACTTTAAGGACTTAATTAGCAGGCTGTGACAGTGCATTTAAGCTTGAAGGTTGCTGAAAGAGACGATTCACTGGTTTTGCACACAAATCACTACATCACACCTAAACCCAGACATGTGGGGTATGCACAGGATCACCACTACAGACAGCAGTGCATGCTGTGCCCACAATATAAACCCAGAAGCACAGCTAAATGCATGAAACTGATATGGTAACTTGGCTGCTTCACACCAATCTGAGATGGACACCAGTGTCTGATGCACGCTACTATACTGCATTTACTCCTTGTATGCTGGTATAGTTAGAAGTGTTATGGCTGATTTTTTGGAAGAATTTCATTGCATCATGATCCTCCGTGTTTGTTACAATAAATAAAACACTGTTCTGGTGTCACCTTGGGGGGGTTCACACCTTGTGCCTCTGTCGGGGGGGGGGGGGGGTCCCAGGGCCGCTTTGGGAGGGTGGTGGAAAACCAGACTGGATTTCAGCTGGAGTACGGAATGGGGGAAAACCCAGACTGGATTTTGGCCAGAGTACAGAATGGGGGAAAAACCTGGACTGGATTTTTCCAGAGACTGGATTTCAAAAAAAAAAAAAAGGGTTGGACTTGATGATCTCAGAAGTCCTTTCCAATCCAGCTGATTCTATGATTCTGTGATCATAGAGATTAAAATGGATTTCAGTATTTTATGGAAAAAAAAATCAATTCAACAAACTATATAAGAAATTAAATCTCCTTTTCTTAATGCTATTAAAAAAGTCTAATTATGTTGTTGACTACCTTGAATTGAAAAATCTCTTAATTTAACTTTGCTGTGCTTTTTCTTCACTGCTACTTCTTGACAATGATAGCAAGGATCTTCTATAGGAAAAAAATTACAATTTTGCTCTGCTTTCTTAGCCTGTATATAAACTGCATTTGCAACATTTGATACTCTGGTCACCAGAGGAAACAACCCTTATTTCTGCCATACAGCACTGAAGTGGAGATTTAAAGTAACAAATGCAGATGTAAGACAGGATTTTTGTCTGACTGAAGTGGTGGAGGGCTTACCCAACAAGGGAAGACCCAATCTGCTGCCCAGACCGGCAACTGCAAGGTTAGTTTGACAAAGGAGCAAATTGCTGTCTTGACACCATGCCAGCAGTGTGCTCTAACTGCAGTGTTATTCCAAACACTGGCAACCTGGAGACCTTGCCAAGAAGGCTGAAATCTCTTCTCACCTTAGAGAGCGTTATCTACACTTAGTAATTCACACACAGTCCAGTGGAGCTCTGAATCGACAGGTTATGTACATTAAACCCACAGAGGCTGCACTTGAAGGAGCAGAGACCCTGTCCAGTAACATATGGCACAAGGAGTCCTGGAACTGACCAGAGGGCAATGCCTCCAAGAGGCAGCTGGGATGACTTACCGAGAGGAAAGCGTGGACTATATCAGCCTTAATGGAGCTTAGTGGTTTGTCCTTAATGACCACAAAAATCTGTTCTTCTTTCTCCAAGTTGATGAAGTTACCGAACCAGGATTTTTTGGCAAGCCTGACGTGATGAAAAGAAAGAGATGGTTTAGAGTACTGAGCACTATTTCTTATTTCTTAAACACCCCTAGCTGGAAAAAGAATTTAAAAACACACAAGAAAGTTTTGATAACAGTCCAGATTTGATGTTATTGCCAATAGTAAGTGGAAAATAGTGTCAGAGAACATCCAGAACAACATTTCACTTAGTGAAAACTGGTAAAATGACAGACCACACAGTCTTAGTCTGGCAGCAACAATGAAAAATCAGGAGCAACAGTAACTCTTTTGACTGAGCCAATACACCGATTAATACTGCATATATAAAGCCCATATAAGCCAGGGGACACATTTCTGGTTTGTCTCCAGGGAACTATTCATTTCATGTGACAATATGCAGATCCTGGCAACTCAGAGATTTAAGTTCCTTCCCACTCAATTTCAACTCCTTTGGTGTTATAGGACTTAAAAAGTTCCTTTTCTAAAGGTGTCCTCTTGGGCTGAAGGTACAATCACAAAATCTTGCTTTTTAAAGCAAGCTGTAGATTTTACCAGACCTCCAATCCGTCAGTGAGTGAAATTCACTCCTACACAGAGGGCCAGGACAAAGACTATCCCATTCATTAGTCTCATTCAGGGTGTCTATATAATGAGTGAACTCTGGTCATCCTACAAAGGAATGAAATTTCAGTACTAAGAAAGAAGATGCCAACACCATGCAAAACACAGTTCAGGCTTTCCACTGACAGTAGTCCAACTTCACAGTTTCTTTCAGCATCAGGTAGTGGTTTCACCATAAAATGAAATTGCTCTGTTTTTTCACACTGATCCTATTAGTAAATGTTTGATTTTGCTTACTGTTTTACAAGTCCACTTTGTTGACATTACCTTTTAAGTTAAACAGGCTAAAGGAAGAATTCAGGGACATATATTTTAATGGGAGACACTACTGAGAACTTGAAGGTAGCATCTCTGACAGGTGTGGTTTTGATGGGAGAGAAGATGCTGTTAGCCATGAGACACAGCCAAAGAATTGCTAGACCAAACTAAATCCAGGGAAAATTCCACTTACATCAGCCATATTCTAGTAGGGAAGAATTTGGCATGAATATGTCAGAAATGAAAAGACCTGCCACTAAGAGACTGCCTTTTTTTTTCCTCTACACCATACTTTATAATGCCAAGTCTGGTTTGAAGTATGGCACGGAATAGGTTTTCACTCATTTTGGTGGACATTCACCACTCAGTGGAAGAAGATAAAAGCAATGGACAGCTGGAGTGAGTTATTAGTAGACTCACTTTCTGTGGCAAAGGCTCAGACTGAGGCAGAACAAGGATGGGCAGAGACTAGGAGAGAGAGGAGCAAACTAAGAAACTAATTTGAAGTCTAGGCCTTCAGGATAAAGAACAAAGCTTGACCTCAGTATTGTCCAGCAATTTGCACTCATTCCCCATTCCAGAGTGCTCCATGAATAAGTTGGCTCACAGCCCATTTAATGCACGCAGTAGAAAGACCACAACTGGAAGACCACTCAGCTGGGCAAATAATTATTTGCTTCATTTACCGTAGGCATCCAAAAATAAGAGTGCAGAAAGATTCACTTGCAATTTGGTAAACCAGTGCCCCCCACTCAATTAAAGTGGGCTGGAAAACTGTCACTCCCTAAAATATTCATAGGCAGCTGTAACTAAGCCAGTGATCCAGAGATTAGCGTAGGGAGCAGTAAAGAGAAAGGGCCTCTCATTTAAATGGTCGTTAAGGAGCCAGGGTTAGAGTGTGAAAGAAAATTACATACTAATTAGCTCATGTGTCTGGCACACACCATAACAACTTTGCAAGCCCCTGGGGAGCTGGGGCAATAGCTCCCTGCATGTAAAGGGTCTATGCTCATTAGTAAATTAGCACCTGGTTATCTATCTAAAACGGCTGGTTGTCTTAGGCTTGGATGTCTCATAATCTGAACCAGGGCTGGCAATATGGCCCAGTGGAAGCATGGGCCTGGAAAAGTGTGCATATTTAATTGCAGATCTGCCATGTTAAAAGATGGCTTTTCATTTCTGTACTGTCATTTTGTTGGCCCTTCATTTATAGGTCTCTTAACACGCCCAGGTAAGAAGGGGCCCAGAACACAGGGTGGTTTTTTCCTGTTCAGCATGGTCTGGAGTCTCCAGAATCCAGCTGGGCTCTTTTCCTCAGCAAGGTTATCACCCGTAATACTAACTGTGGATGACTCATTGATAGCCTGGGCTATGCTCCAGCTTGTAAATCACTGGAATTCACCAAATAATTTTCCTGGTGTCGCATAAGATGGAGTAGATGCCAGTGGCCTCTCTTGTTTCTGTAATGAACAGAATCAAGACATAGCACACATGCCCTGGCTTCTACCCCTGAAACTGGCAGAACCAGCTGTACTCATACACCTGGGGAATGGGTCCACTGAAGAAGAAGGGACAGCTTTGGAGTAAAATGACACAATAAAGGGTTTTCTCCTCTTAGAGAGCATTAAGTGCTACTAACTTGGGTTAAAATGTGTATGAATCAATGATCTTCAGCACGCTGAATGAGATGCTCTAGCATCTCACGAGATCAGGCTGTAAGCAGTACAAAATGTACTTAAAATAAAGAATCTTCTCTTATGGTAAACCTCTTAAAGCAGGAATGAGATAGGAGATATGTGGGGGAGGCTGGGTATGCAGATTACGCTAGGGAATCTAATCAGGTGCCCAGTTGATGAAAAAGCAAAGAAATTAGCATGCAAATGGAAGCTGGTGCTTTATTACTTCACACTGAATTTCTCACTGCTATAATGTTGTTTCTTTTCCTACTTTTGGAGTCTCTTGACTACATTGCCTTCTGGAGAGCCTCACTGTGTTCCCTCTCTATCCCTGAGCACATGGATCTGTAACCTCCAGAGGTTTACCTGCTTGGCATAAATAACAGCATTTCTACTTAAGCAAATGGAGCTTTGCAGGTTTAAAGCAGATGGAGCTAAGTCTCTTTAAATGTCATCCCGAACACATTTTCTAGGACTTTTTCACTTGAGAAAGAACAGCATTACCCAGACATGTCAAAGTGTATTACCTAATCATCAGGTTTGTTAAATGAATGGCAGTCATTGCTGTACCAGACAGAGCAAGGACATGTATTTATCACTCAACCCCATGAGGTCAATACAGCTCTTGATAAGAGTATCTTATTTCTTACAGAAAGAAAGAAAATACTAGAAAAAATAAGACATGGGAAAGTGGACACTGAGCAACAGACATCTATGGTTAAAATATAATCCAGTTCATTATTTTTTATGACTTGTGCAGCCCAACTGAACTCATTAATTTGGCAATTATACAGAAAAAGAAAAAAGGGCCTTAGGCTTTGACTTGCATCCAAACTGCCTCAAATGACAGGCACTTCTCTACACCAGCTTTTAAAGAGTGAGTGGGAAGCAGAGAAGGCAATAAATTAACAGGAAAACTTCCAACAACTTACATACAATGAAGAAGAGAAATTTAATTCTAAAAGGTTTTCTGTTTTAATGGCCTTAAAAACATGTGAAATGAGAGTATTGTATATTTCTTTCATAATGATGTGCTAATTTTATGAAATTCTCTCATGCCTCTCTATTAGTAAATGCTCAAAAGTATTGAAAACACAATATATTCCATTCTTCTTCCTGGATTTCTCTTACTAACCTTTACTAATCCCTATTTCTCCCTCTTCTGAAGTCTTTATCTCTCTCCATTATGCAGTACTGCACACAGAGTCCACATTTTACACCAGATAAATACCAGGTCTGGGGAAAGTTGTTAAGACAATACCACAGTCACCAATTACAAAACTTTGTGCCCAAATTTTTCATCCAAGACTCATGAATATTTCATACCAGCATCTTAACAAGAGGCCAAATTGCCTTGGTTGGCAGGGTAAGTCTATGGGCATTGGGTGCACAAACACAAGCTGTGAAAATAAAAAGGAATAATTTGGCATCTGTTGCATATTAGGAAGTGTTTGGAGCAGCACTCTGGCAGGGACTTCCAAACCTGCCATGCAGTGACGCACATTTGTGCAGTGAGATGGCTGAAATGTATGTTGACTTTCAGGAATGAGTCTGGTGAATATGAAATATCTTCTCCATGTCCCAGTGCTGCTGCCTAGAATTAACACTGCGTTTACTATCGCAGCCAAAGATTCCTCTGAATTATCTTAGCAGAGGCTTCTGCATGTTATCCTGAGGATGCACTCTCCTGTACTAAAAGGAAGACTATTTAGTGCATAGTGAGTGCCAGTATAAGCCACTGATTAGCCTCTCCACACCTCAAGAGTGATCTACTTGACAAGCAAATGAAAGAAAAGAGAAGGAACATGTTACAAACCCAGCAAACTCAGCAAGTCACAAAATGAGGTGGTTACTGGGAGACTGTTTCATCACCTGTTGACCCCCACTGCCATTTCTGAAGTATAGATTTTATCCAGGGTCCTTATCAGAAGAATCATTTAACATCTCTACCCCACCCACAGGAGAACAGGTTACAGATACTGATCTAGAACAGAAATACGTCAGCCTATGACACTGAGGCAAGGAAATGACATTGGTATGTGGTAGAAAAAAAAAGGTAGTGTACCGGGAAATTACTTACTCTGGGGATGATTCTGGGGTTAAATTAGACATCTCCTCTGGTGTAGGTACTGCCCACGCACATACAGACAAAGAGAGGGAAGGAGAAAAGAAATCGATGATTCAGTACACCTTCCATTTTCTGCTTGTATATCAATGAAACAACGCTGGCATTGCACCCTCTTGCATTTGCCCACTGCCTCTCCAGACTGGTTCTGACATCTGAACATTGGTCATATGTCTCTAGATCACTGCATCTAATCAAGTGCTGCATTTCAAGGCTCACTCCTTAAATCATCATGCAATCTTGCACTGGCTTCAGACTCAAACACACTGCTGCAATTCTCTGCAATTCTCTGACCATCTCAGAGACAATCTCACTGACCATCACAGTCAACTATTTCATGGCTGTGAGCTTCCTTTACCATGGGGTCACATCCCAGTACCCTGCAAAACCACATGGTGTTGGGATAGCTGCTGCTGATGTCCAAGGATAATGCATGTGACTTCAGGTGCTCTTTGTCTGAATAGAGAAAGCCACCTGGAACTTGAGGAAGGAAATTTTGCACATCTCAACACTCTTAGAGACTTTGAAAACTGAAGTAGGCCAGCAGATATGAAGACACTGATTGTATTAAGGAGATTTTTACATCAATTACCAAAGGCGGAAAAGAAGCATTAACCAAGATCAAAAAAGCTTTGCTTCAGAAGGACAATTTTAGCCTACTGCCACTGGCTGTCTTTTTTTCAGCAGAAGGCTCAGCCTGTGGCTGTGGAGAGGCAGCAGAGCACAGCCACAGGGGAAATGGCAGAGCTCTAAGTTCACTGACAAAACAAGTGAAGAATGTGAAGATAAATTATTCTCGTGGTCTAAGAGCCACAACAGAGATAGTACGAGCTGTATGCATGGAGTATGAAGAGGGCTTAGGAGATGCTCTTGGAGCAGGTGCAACGGCATGACAGAGCCTGCTCACATGGGGATTAGGGCTTGGCTGATGCTATCACTCTCACTTTCATACCAATATTCAGTCTTTGGTGGATGGAATTTGCAGAGCCAGACAGGTATCAACTTCCTGACGAACAGCTGCCCAAATCAGAACCACCTGTATGTTTGGGTGGGTACTCACCTTGTAATTTCCGACGATGGAAGCGAGGAGACCCCAGGAAACTATTCTTGATGGAGTTGAGCCGTGTCCTCCATGGCATTCCTCCAATGCTGGGGCTGGATGGTGGTGTTGGGTTGGGTGTGCCTGCTGGGCTCTCCTTTGGCGTATGAACAGGTGTCCCCTTGGGGGTAGGGAGGGGACTTCCCCTTGGAGAGGGGTGAGGGGTGACCTGTATGATGGGGATAGATTTGGTGCTTGGGTCAGTACTAGAAGGGAGCAATCTAACAGGAGACATAGGGTTGGTCTGTACTTTAGGAACAGCCAGCTGTGGGTTAAAGCCGGCAGCAGGCGAGCGGCCCTGAGCATTCTGCACAGGGTTGTTCTGGGAAGAGGGGGCGCTGGCATTGCTGGTAGGGAGTGGGTTGGATTTAGTAGACTGGAGTGGTTTTTCAGCCAATTTGCTCTTGGATGGCAAAGTCTGCGTCTTTGGGTTGGGCTGAAGTGCTGGCTTTGGTTGGAGTACATGTCCAGGCCTGGAGGCGTTCCTACAAGCATCAGGGTCCAAGGAGACTTGGGGTCGGGGAGAGAAAGGGAGGTCGGAGGTCTGAGGGGGGATGAAGAACTTTCTGATAGGCTACGAGACAGACGCAGAGTGTCCATGCACATCAAAAACAGTGAAATACGCATAGAGCGGGCGAGCAGAGAAAGGAAAGTCAGAAAAAAATCCATCCGAGTCACAAAGATGCACCATGTCACAAGGAGACACAGGAGATGGAGGTGAAGGGGTAGTGGGGGGAGGGATTTTGCAAAGAAACGAAAACAAACAAACAAACAAAAAACAAAAAAAAGACATGCAGTTAGCTGGGAACACAGCATAATCAACAACAGCAGCAGCGGCAGCAGCAAGAACAACAGTGTCATAACAGGCTTCATCATATTAACCAACCACGTGTCAGCAAAGGAAAACAACGGAAAGAAAAGTACAACAAAGGAACAGTAATATAAAATAAATTAAAAAAATAAAAAAATAAAGTAACTAAGAAAAAAGAAGAGAGAAATGCCATCTCTCTGGGATTGTTCTGATTGCCCTGCAGTGTGAAAAGCACGATGCTGTAGGGAGGTGAGGAAGGGGAAGAAGAACCACTCAAGCCACAGACAAACTGAGATGTGCCAAGAATGGGACCACCTCTTTCAGCTCCATGTGCCCATGTGCAAACCCAGTAGAGAGATGAAACTCAGAACAGGTGTGTGATACATAGGGAGTGGCAGGTGATACACAGAGTTACTGCACACACCAGTCAGAACCTCTTTCCTTCCTCTTTACCCCTGACTGGCTAATGCACACCTGAGTTGCAGCCACCCATTGCAGAAAGAGGAGGAAAAGGGAGAGTAATGCCACCTGGGCACCCACTCTCCTCCCCTGACCTGGAAGGTTAAATTTCTCCAGCATTCACTTGGAGGCTTCAGAGCATGAAACACCATGAGAAAAATTATGAACTCAGATTGGTGTTTGATTTGTAAACTGCTACAGCAAAAACTTCAATGAGGCTTGGCAAATTTATTTATCTGGGAAGAGATGATATTTTCCATCAGACTTTATGCTTCTCCTGCAACATCCCTCATCACATCGAAGGACAGCCTGATAATTGGAATTTCTGTCATAAAGTCTCAGCAATATTTGCCATTAAGTCTCAAGTCTAAGAAGAGGGTGAGGTGAGCCATTGTTTTGTAAGACACAATTTAAAAAGAAAAAGACAAGCAAAGTTCATAATCCATCATGGAGGTATCAAAATGAGATTATGATTTTTTTTTTCCGAAACAAGGATATTTACACATATTAAGAGGCATTTTGGGAAACCATTCATACATTGACAGCAAACAGCAATAGACAGACTTGGAAGGGTAGAAGCCTTTTAAAGGGATACTAGCAAGCTAAAAATCACATTTAAAAAAAACAAATGTCCTTACAAAACATTGCTGTTAACACCTTAGATTACAAGTACTGGAAAAATTGTAAAAATAGAAATCACTATTCAAGATATTTAGCTTTGGTCTACACTTAGATTATGATTTCCATAAATTATTACCTATGAAAAATTATATATCACCATTATTATTATCCATTCTTAACACCTAAAAGCTGCAATCAAGCACTGTCCAGGCATACCACGTACATGTAACCATGCCTCAAATTTCAGTCCCATGTAAGCACACTTACTAGGGAGTTTACTTCCTGGGTTTTATGGATTAGCACAATGTTGCTATACTTTAAAAATTGCAGAAATTTATTTAAAGCTTCATTCCTGAAATTGTTTGCATTAAAGCTTTGTAATTACTTTAAAGAACTTAGAGTTAGGCCACCAAAATTAAAAAAAAAATCACTACATCAAAACATTTGTATTATTATTAGGATTGTAAAGCTAAACTAAAATCTGCCATGTTGGTAAATTCTGACTGCCAATGGGAAACGATGGGGAAAAGATGAGGCAAGTGGTTAATCTGTGGAAGTCACTACCAGCACCTGAATATTAACCATTTGCAAATGACACCAATGGATAAAAGTCAAAGACTGTTGATTGCAAATGTCTCCTTGCAATTTTTGTATCTTATGTGTGTGATGGTTTGAGAAACAAATATGAAAGAAAAAAAAGTCAAATTCAACTCCCACTTGAGCCATTAGGTATCTGAAGAGGCACCCTTAATTACCACATTCTTAATAATGAAATGAAGAACAAGATTATGTCTCTATTTCAGCTGGTGCCATAGGGAACACCATTAACAAGATCTTGTGAAATTTGAGAACTTTTAGTTGCTGTTGAATTCAATTCCTCATAGAACTGAACTTAAGCACTGCATAAAATGAAATAGGTATTTGCTTTTTAAAGCATATTCTCTTTCAATAATCTAAGGTGCTATTAGACGCATAGGTAAGGACTTTTAAAAAAATATGATTCTTATTCCATTATTTCCTTTTAAGCCTCAAATTTGACCTGCCTTAATATATCATTATGATCTGCTGAAAATGACATCTGGTTGCTAAATCCCTTTGAAGACTATTTAATCAACTGCCTATTAAGTGATAATGGTAAGATACAGCAACTATGGAACAGATCTTGTCAACCCCATTCTCTGATGTAGTCCTACTGAGATGTCAGAAATTGAACCCAAGAGATCAACTGATGACATCAAGATTTAGGTTTGCTGCGCTGGATGCTTATTTTGTGCATAAAACTGTTTCCATGCTCTTTTTCAGGACATTTTGCAGTGGTATAAAAGTCCTCAGACCTCTGCTTCCTTCCACTGACAACCAGGAGCCCCAGTGCAGAAAGAAAGAAATGGATCTTTACTGGTTCCTAACGCCTTAAAGGGACAGAGGAGACCACAAATACATTTATGCCAGTTGCAAAACAGGGTAACAATTGACAGGAACCCAGAATATCTTTCAGAAAACAGTTCAATCAAGCAAGGTGTTGGAAGCTTTACTAGTCTATAAACTTACACCTGACAGTGTGTCTTCATTCATAAGAATGACACAGAATCTTACTGGGGAATTATAATTTCAAATACCCGGAATACTGATGTTATCTTCCTATAACTAAGAGTAGATCCATAGGTGTATCTGTACCCTAACACATGGAATATATCCATTTCCAGTGGCGGATAGCATCTTCTCATGAAGTCATGAAAAGTATGTAGAAACTCTCCAAAGACTCTGGGCCAGACAATCAGGCAACACGGATTGCCACAGCCCTACAGACTTCTTGATGAGGTCTAGACTTTTGTAAGCACTGCAGTCTTAAAGACCTTGACAGGCACTAGGGATACTCACTTCAATCCCTAAAGAAGTTAACAAGAAGATGGAGGCCCCTGTCACTGCACTTAGAAACTGAAAACTTTGCAACACGTACTGTGAGGCGTGTGTTGTACTAGCTAAGTATCAGTAAGTATCAGTATTTAGTTGACTGTATGATTAAAAAGGGCATGTAAATGTACCTTATTTATAGGGGTTTGAATGTTCTTTACTCATCCTAGTCAGTCAACTTCTTACTTTCCTTTTCAATTTGCTAGCCCTCAAATTTGTATAATTTATTTACTCTGACTTTCTAATACAAGCTATTCTGAGGCAAATAGAAGACAACCAGCATGGTTTGGTGCTCTACTGAGACCTAATTGAAGACAGCTGTGAAATGATTCCTGATTACTTGGTCTGAAGCCACACTGTATGCAGACCTCAGCTGGATATGGCAGTGTTTAGTCATAGCAATGTTATTCTGTGTCCTTATGAGACTGAAAAAGGGCAAGGGCACAGCGAGATCCCTGATAACAGTGCAGGGAACATGTATGAGAAATTCTCTGCTTGCATTTGTAAATAACATTTCCCTCACAACCCATGAAAATTTATAAGCTGCCAAGGAAAAACAAAACATCCCAGCTAAGAGCCACAGCTCTGGAGCAACAGATGCAGAAAGCATCAAGCATGTGTGAGTGAATTGGACCAACAGATCTTGAAGCAGCACCACTTACCCTTGGACTGCTGAGAGGACTGGTGGAGAGCCCAGATGATGCTCCACTGATTGACCGAGACCTGAATGGACACAATAAGGAAAACATCTCTCAGAAAACTCGGACAAGTAATAACCCTGATCACCAGCCACCACAGGCACAGGCATGAAGTGAGGAGGAGGAGGGAGGCTGTCACTGGAAAAGCACACGACTCTTTCCTTTTCCTTCCTTTCACTACTGTCGCATTTTTCAGTTGTCCCCCCCCCCAAATCCCTGTTGCTCAGGGAGAATACTATTAATCCCTTTTGATTAAGGCAGTTGCTACTTTCTTTTTGGTTATCAAGCGCATGGAAGCTACTACATCTGACCTGTGCAAATTGAACTGCTGAATTCAAAAAGATGGTGAAGACATTCATATTGGTGCTGAGAATTCTGTTTTGCACAGACCCAGTGATCACAGAATGAGACTTTCTCTGTCACGAGCAACATGGAAAAGCACCGTGTTCACAAGACACAAAGGAAGGGGATTATTCCAGATAATAATTAAAAAACAAGTCTCCTTGACCCAAGCACACTATCATTTTTTATGTGATGACTTCCCACTGAAATCAAAGATCACATTGGCTTAACCCTTTCCAGCTTCTCACTGATCGTTTTCACATCTTTGCTCTCCAGCAAGATTTCTTGCTGCTGCATTAAACAAGCCAGGCCTTCTCAATGGATAATCAGTTCTGCTTTTGTTGATGACTTTACTAATATCAAGTTAACAGCTCAAGTGCCCTCAAAAAGAGGCCAGTCAAGGAACAGTAAACTGTCCTATTTGCTGACAAGGTCACCTATACTGTAATGCTCTTATGCTCTCCAGCAAAGGCCATCAATGAAAAATGTCAGCTACTGACAATAAAATGTGCAAATGTGCTATGCTAAACATGGTGAAAGAGCAGACAGGCCAAATTGCACAAACATTTCAGCAGAAGAAGTTTCTAGGAGGAGGGCTGCCCAGAAGAAAAAAACCCACACCCTGTGTGTGACTGTACATGAGTGAGCCCCAGAGGCGGCTGCTTTCTATCCTTTTTAAACACAAAGTTGAAGACTGAAACATCTCATAGGAAAGGACTTGGCTAAGAACCTAGTTGTTCGACAACCACCATGCAACAATATGTCAATACAGCAAAACTAACAATGTGTCACGTATAGTAAGAGTCATGAAAGCAATTACTTGCCTTCAGGTAGCAAACATGAAAAGGTGAAATTCCTGTATATGCTTGGAAAATGGAGTGAGTGGGTATATGTGTATACATATGTGTCTATGTGTCTGTGCGTGTATACACATATATATTAAAAATTGATATAGGTCAGACAGCTGATGTCAGCTTATACATAAAAGAAATTTAGACCATAAACTATGTCAGTTTACTCTCTTCTGCTGTAGAATAAAACAAAAACATCGGTTTCTCAAATGGTATCCTGACATATATTTGAGCAGAATTCTTAAAAAATCTGTGAATGGGAAAAGAGGAAGTATTTCCAAGGAAAGAATAAGTTACAACTGAACACAATGGCATGTTCTGTTTTCTCTATTTGTATCCTCTGCAGAAACTACTCACTGATGGTTTTCTTTGTATCTCATTGCAGTTTGTTCATCACAGTAAGTAGGTGAAATGCAGAACCCCAGTCTCAGCCAGATTAAATCTAGATTGGCACCATGAAAATCTCGGGCACTCATTCTACGGAGAAACTCCCCACTTAAGTTTTTCTTCTCTGCCCATCACAGTGCAACAGTAAAACTAGAAGCTCACTCTTGGCATTCTCTTGTACTTGATTAAACCTAAATTTTCACCATCATGATCTGGGGCACTCATAAAGGTTTATGCAAAGTAATTTTAGGGGAAGAACCGTCTGCTCCACTTTTGAAAGGTTACTTTATGTGCCTTTCCCCTAACTGAAGTAGCTGACTGCACCACAGATGTGTTGTGCAGATGGGGAGTAAATTAGTTAAAAATCTTCCTTGCATGAATCATCAGAAAAAGCTTCTTCCAAACCATAAATTACAAGAGGATCCTACAGATTATCTTGGACAAATGTGGAAGGCATTCAGGTGCCCAGAAATGCAGTTAAACAGCAACTTACAGTTAAAGGAGGTGTTCCCACCAACTCTTAATTGTGGTGGGAAAGTCCCCTCTGACACTCACCTGAATTCCAGGATACTTGATTAAAAGTTCCAATCTGCTATTTCCTTTTTGCAATCAGGTGTTTCCAACAGTCCTGAATTCTCCCTTCCCAACCCTATTATCTCCTATTTTTTTTTACAAAAACGATCACACACATGGAGGACAAAATATGGCAGGCCCCACCTCCCAATTCCCAGTTTCTTAGCAATATTTGAAAAAATTGTTGTTGTGTACTGTGTTTTCATCCAGCCTAGGAGCCTGAGGCAGGGGACATAAGAAAGAGTTAGTATGAAATCCTCTTGGAAATGCATTCAATATCCATATGACTGCTAATGAATAAGCTTTATTTCTGCTGCTAATTTACATGCAAAATAAGTAAGAAGAAAAGTAGGCCCTATAGCAAGTTTCAGTTTGTCCACACTGGAAATTGTATATAGGAGCAGTCAAAAGATTTTAAAGAAACCTCTGTTAATTTTAAATGTTGAGGTGAAAAGAGAGCTGTACATTTTCAAGACTTTTCCTCCCTTACCAGAAAGTGTTGCTATGGGATATGACACCCAGACTGAGGAGATCTTCCTTACATCGTTTTCAATTTAACAAATCTCCCACAACGTACCTTTATAAATGGGACATAGTTTCCAAGCTGGCTATAAGAACTCAGTACCCTGGCCTACTATGTGGTTCTACACACCAGTACAAAAATGCTAACAGGCAAAAATGATAGATTTGTCCCTCTCATCAAGATCACTTTGACTGAGCAATGCTATAATTCAGTTTGTAAAAAAACCAACCACATGCACTGTTCCTGTATCTCAGAGTCAGGTGGACAGAACTGGGACAGGGCCAAAAGGAAGTAATGAAACATTGCATTATGCTGAAATGCTGTAGTGAAAGAACAGAGAATTTAAATTTTTATCCCTCTCACAAGAAAATGAAAGTTTGAGGCCCTACCAGCAGCACATTAGTATGGCAGACTCTTATGTCTTATGTGTAGAAAGAGGAAAAAAATATGACATTACCTTATCTCCATGGCTATGAACTAAATTTATTCAGTGGGAAGTATCTGTTAGTGAATAACCTCCTAAGAGTCTTTAGAGCCATTAAATGTTATTGGAATTATTAAATTTATAATTATTCCAATAACTTAATACTAAATGCAACCATGTAGGAAACTATGAACATTTTGTATGACTCATTTTGCTCTGTGTTTTGCATTGCCGTATGCCTGCACACTAACTCAATGGAAGTCATCAAAACATTGTTGAAAATACAAGCAGAAGAATCAGTGCAGTTGCTCAGACAAAGAGCATTCCTTCAAACACAACTGCCACATTTAGAGACTCAAGGAGAGACTCTTTGGTCCCTTCCCTGGGAGCAAGTGACACAGTTGTTTTTCCAAGCCTGGAGGGAGAAATTAAAGAAAAACCATAAGGGAGCTAGACCCAAGGTTTAGGAGGGGGAAGATGCAGAGGGCACTATAAACATAAGGTGGACACTGAGACCATTGCAGGCTATTCCTCTCATTCTGCAGACTGACAATAATCTGGAGATGTCTGAGCTATGAAAGACAGAGGCAAAGGACTGAAACAAAATGTGCATGTGTGAGCTGTAGTTTGTAGCTGTGACAATTTTATACCTTATTCAAACTATTTGATACTTCAAAGCATCGAAGTTAAAAGATCCTTCATTTTAAGCATTTTTTTACTCATTTTAGCCAGCTACTGTCAAAGAGGAAGCTGTGCTAGGCCCAATTCATGTCAGACCAGTGTTCTCTTACTGGTGAAACTGAGGGGCTGGAATTCAGTTTCCAGCTGGTTTCAGAGAACTGCAGAATTTCTTGAGAGCAGTAAGAGGTGAAAGGCTGAAGCCTGACACTGCTGAGGTGTAGACGGAGAAAAACACAAGACAGAAAAGTGCAGCTGACCTGGTAACCGTACTACACATATAGCACATGCACAGAGCATCTCTACATAGCCCTTCTCTCAGATTAGTTTTCAAGTGCTTTAAACAGTGCATCTGCTTGTACACACCAGTACACAGCCACATTTAGGTCGGATTCGGCACTTGTTTCTTGTTCGATAACCATTTCACAGAATTTTTTCTTGCAATCAAAGGGGAGTTTGGTGCCTTGTTGCAGTCCCAGCAGAACTTGCTTTCATAACACAGTTTTACCAGGATGCTGAATACAGCCTCTTAGCTGGTCAAGCTGGAGCCATGCTTCCAAGAAGGGGAGCCAGCGGCATGCATGCAGCATGCAGTAATGCATCAGAATTGTGTCCCTGGGTGAAATGCCTTAGAAATTTTGCATTAGTTTCCATGTGTAGTTTTAAAACTCATTCCAAAAAATATCCAGCCATCCTCTTATTTGCTTCAAGCATAAAGTGGGTGGAATTTGATACTCCTCTTTCCTTGCTTACTCAAAAACAAAAAAAACCTAAACTGAATTTCAGGGTATGAGACCCCTGAAATTGACCTGAATTAATATGCAGTAAGCATGTTAAATTTCACCACTATTACTCTTGGGAGTCTAAAGGATACAAACTGTGCTTCCTTACTCCCTGATTTAGGGAATATGAATGGAATACCTTTGTTGTTTCACTGTCTTACAATCCCAAATGTGCAAATAATACCGTAACAGCTCTTATTGGAATACTTATGCTTAAGTCAGAAGGTCTGCTCATGGTAATGACTGCTTGTAAGATGAAGCCTTACAAAGAGCACAGAGAAAGGAGCGCAGGTGTTGGTAACACACGCTTTGTCCTTTCAGTGCATACAGAGGGTGATGCTGAACAGCACCACCCTCCTTAATTGGCCAGTTATACTAGAGTTCCATCTATAAATGGTTTAGAAAGAATTAATAAATAGTAAAGCACGCTACAAACATGAGAAGTAAATGTTACTGGTGCTAATT